AAATAATAATATTAATAATATTGGCAATGCCTTCAAATTTGGCAATACAGTGGAGAATATCAATCTATGTAAGATTTTGTCATCTTTTTTGGACCAGAAAACCACCTTTTGTTTATCAAGATAGTATGTAAGATTTTTTACATATCTTTTGAAGATATTCTAATACACTGATGCAGTGAATGATAATTTGGTACAACCACAAATAGTTATGATGGCTGATGTGACTTCTCATTCTTCAAAGAACATGATTAAGGCTTTCTTAATTAGGTTGCATTGTAACAGGTTTTCTTTAGTTTTAATTATCTCTTGTATCAATGAACATGTATCTTCTTATTTAAAGGGCTCCATATGTAAGATTAAGAAGTGATTTAGTGAATTAAAAAAACAAGTAATCTAAGAAGAGAGTTTTCTCCTTCCTTAAATGAAGTGTGAGGTTTGGTTGTGTCGAGTGAATCCACGATTAGCGACGTCGAGTGATTCCGTTACCCCTAGTTGAGTGATTCCCAGGCTACTACCCCTATCTCTTCGAGGCCCTTGATCCTTACTGCGTCATATACCAAATAGTTTGAGCTCGTAATGGACCTAAAAGGTTACAATTATATATGACTTAATATGAGGAAGTCAGAAGATTATCTCCAATAGAAGTTCCTATTTAGGGATTCCCGCCACCACTTTTGAGTACTAATTTAAGGACTTAACGAGAATCTTTGTATCCCTAAAAGAACATTGTCTCCAATGGTAGAGTTCTTATAGTAGAATCATTTTCTTTTCTTTTTTGTATAGATTATAGTAGAATATCTAAATTTTAAGTTTTTACGGTTTTACATGATAAATTGATTAAGTACACATTTTTTGCTTATATTAACCTTTTTTAATTAATTAAATAGCATTAAAAGAAAAATCTTCTATCAAGATTGTGGGTACGATTTCCACTCAAGATGCACATTTTTTTGTTTATGTTAACCATTTTTTTAATTAATTAAAAGCATTAAAGACTACAATCAAGATTGTGGGCTCCGTTTTCCACTCAAAGTTGTCCCTATACATTCCTTACATGTAAGGACATACACTATGTATCCAATGAGTTTCTATACTTTAGGACTCACTTTTTGATCCATTACACTATGTTTGGATGAAGAAATTTAAGATTATTAAGGAATTTAAAATGACGGAAATTGAAATGAAGGGATTTTATTTTTAGAATTTGTGAATTTTGTTGCTTGGTTAACTTAAAATAATGGAATTGAAAACGAAATTTGTTAATTTTAAACTTCTAATCATAGAAATTGGGAAATGACATATATTTACACGGAATTTAAACTTGGAAATTGGAGGCCCCAAATTCCAAGTTTTTTTTCCACGCGGAAATTCTAAATTTCTATGTTATAAATCCAAATAAGGGAACTGGTGCATGTCAATTTATAAATTCTGACTTTTATCCAAATTCCAAGTTTACTTCCCTCATCAAAACATAGTGTTAGAGATTCATTTTATCCCTATGTTTATTTTATACTCATTTTATATGATGATTAACTTATTCAAGAATTCCATTGAACATGCTCTAATGGACCTAAAAAGATAGGGTCATTCAGTCTCTGATGTAAGTGAAAAGTTAAGAGTCAAATATAACTTTTGGCCATAGATTTTACTCAATTTATCTCTAATGACTTTGAATTTTGACTATAAAAGTTATATTTTGTTTGTACCATACTTGACCAATCCCGAAACTACTGAACATCGGTCAACGTTATACCATCAAGGACCCAGAAGAGTTTCCCTCAAATCAGGAGGCCAATCACAGCGCGACACGTGTCGACATCAGAAGCCAATCATAGCGCGACACGTGTCAACATTAGAAGCCAATCACAACACGACACGTGTCAATGTTAGAATGAAACTAGAAACTCTCTTCTATAAATAGAGATCCTTCTCTCACAATATTTCCTAATGTCATTTGTACTAAATCATTCACTAGTACTCACTAAAGGAGAGCTTGAACCTATGTACTTGTGTAAACTCTTCACAATTAATGAGAACTCCTCTACTCTGTGGACTTAGCCAATCTGGGTGAACCACGTACATCTTGTGTTTGCTTCCCTGTCTCTATCCATTTACATACTTATCCACACTAATGACCGGAGCAATCTAGCGAAGGTCACAAACTTGGCATTTTCTGTTGTACCAAAGTTCTCACTGATTTTGTGCATCAACATATTTAATTCTTATTTGATGTGCATCTGGATGATATAACATTTGGAGTTAAATTTGACTCTAAATTGACGTTTTACAATTAGCAATAGGTGCAACCTTTTTGCCTTCAATTATGTTTTGTTGTGAGTTACAATAAGTTTGGATAAGGGAAATAAACTTGAGATTTTGACAAAATTTAGAATTTATAAATTGTCATGCACCAATATTTGTTTGGGTTAAGAAATATAGAAATTTAGAATTTCCGCGTGGAAAAAAAAATTGAAATTTGGGACCTCCAATTCCAAGTTTAAATTCTATGTAAATAGGTGTCATTTCCCAATTTCTATGAGTGAGAGTTTAAAAATAACAAATTCCGTACTCAAATTCCATTGTTTTTTAAGTTAACCAAACAAGAAAATTCATAAATTCTAGAAAATTAATATCCGTCATTTTAAAATACCTTAATAATCTTAAATTTCTTCATTCAAACAGACTGTTAGGTTAACCAAATAAGAAAATTCACAAATTTTAGAAAATAAAATCCCGTCATTTTAAAATTTCTTAGTAATATTAAATTTCTTCATTCAAACAGTGTTAGGTTAACCAAACAAGAAAATTCACAAATTCTAGAAAATAAAATCCTGTCATTTTAAAATTTCTTAGTAATCTTAAATTTCTTCATCCAACCATAATGTTGTAGACATTGAAATTTCGGTGGCATAAATGTTAGCCATTGCATTAAGATTACATTTGTAAACATTGAAATTTTGGTGAAATAAATGTTGACCATTGTATTAAAATTACAACCTTCATTCACTTCACCTACATCATACACTAAGTTCACCTACAACATCCACCAAGTTTCACCTACAAACATCCACCAAGTTTCACCTACAATATCCACCAAAATTCACCTACAACATCCACCAAAACAAATGGATGGTGATTCGTTCCCAAAGCCTATAAATAGGCTCCTCCATCAAAGAATCAAGAAACCAATTCACAAATACATTTCTCTACTCCCAAAATGGAAAAGAATACTCCCCACACATCCAAAATCCTTGAAGCTTTGAAACTCCAAAGCTCTCAAGCAAATCTCGAAGGATCAAGAAAGCCCTCTTCGTTCTTCATCAAATCCTCCTTCAAGATCAAGCCCCAACGGCCCTTGAAGAACTTCCACCAATTCAAGATCAAGTCTCGACGGCCCTTGAAGAAAGTGTTCAACAAATCCACACAACTGTTCATCCTAAGATCAAGCCCCGACGGCCCTTTTGGATCAACAACATCACCAAATTCACATAACTGTTCATCCTAAGATCAAGCCCCAACGGCCCTTTGGATCAACAACATCAACAAATCCACACAACTGTTCATCCTAAGATCAAGCCCCAACGACCCTTTTGGATCAACAATCATCCACCAATTCAAGATCAAGCCCCGACGGCCCTTGAAGAAAGTGTTCTTCATTCTTCGTTCATCGTTCTTCCAAGATTAAGCCCCGACGGCCCTTGGATCAACAATCCACCAATTCAAGATCAAGCCCCAAAGGCCCTTGAAGAACTTCCACCAATTCAAGATCAAGCCCCGACGGCCCTTGAAGAAAGCACCATCGTTCATCATCCGTTCATCCAAGATCAAGCCTCAACGGCCTTTGGATCAACAACATCAACAAATCCACACATCCAACCGTTCTTCAAGATCAAGCCCAAAAGCCCTTGAAGATCCGTTCATCACCGTTATTCAAGATCAAACCTTAACGGCCCTTGAAGAAACACTCATCCTCAAGATCAAGCCCCAACGGCTCCTTGAAGATCCGCTCAAATCCACCTTCAAAGATCAAGCCCACGGCCCCTTGAAGAAACTTCTAACAGTTCATCCAAGATCAAGCCTCGACGACCCTTGGATCAACGAAACATCCACAAATCAACACCTTACGGAGATCGAATCAGATGATCAAATTTGAGAGAGATTGTAACCTAAAATCATAAAATACAAATATTTGTTTGTGCATGTCGTTCTTGTCTCTTTCGTTTCAGGAATTTTCCGTGTTCACAAATGTTATACTACTTTTGATGATGGAAAATTAATATCCGTCATTTTAAAATTCCTTGATAATCTTATATTTCTTCATCCAAACAGAGTGTTAGGTTAACCAAATAAGAAAATTCACAAATTCTAAAAAATAAAATCCCGTCATTTTAAATTTCTTAGTAATCTTAAATTTCTTCATCCAACCGTAATGTTATACTACTATTGAGGATGAAAAAGTTGCACATTCGTTCCCTTCGTTTGGTATTGGTATGCAAACGGGACAGAACGGAATGGGACGGGACGGAACGAAGAGAGAGCAAAGATGCCCTCGGATGGAAACAAGGAGGAAGAAGGAGATGGAGAAGTTATATTTTTGTGTTCTACGGATGTGGAACAAGTCGTTCCAACGGATGAGGTGGAATGAAAATTCACCAAAAACCCATCCCGTGGATTAGTGCGTTCCACCCGTTTTAGGCGCACCAAACGTGAAACGGAACGTCTCGTCCCACTCCGTTCCGTCCCGTCCCACGTACCAAACGGTACCTTAAGTCCCTATCGAATAGTGCCATGAAATTTGCCAGTGATCGAAAAAAGATTTCAGCCATAACGACAGTGGCCGCCGGAGAATTTATGGTACCAGTTCTGGTGGCTCAGTCCGGTCTAGTTCAGAACCAAACCGATTGGAGCCTAAATTGACGCGACAACCATTGATCTGAAATGTACTTGTTTCGCTGCCATTTAGAAGGAATATAATCAAAGACAAGTACACTTTTGTGTGATTATCTTCGTTAATCGTCATAAATCTCAATCGTATTTATTATGAAAAGTTGAAATCCAAACTGTTCATGTATAATAGCCAACCACAATATACGTGAATTTGAACACTAGATGAATGAATATTCACTTCTGCACAATATGTTGATAACAGCGTTGTTACTTCTTCATCCAGCTCCCGTCCCGCATGCGCAAATGATAGAGCCAACGAAACCCTAACCGCGAAGTGTTGCCCGAGGGACAGCTGGTAAGCCCAATTCGTCCTCAGCCTGCCAGCATTGGATTTTAAACAAGAATTAGCACAGCGGAAAACAATGATGTGGAGCATGCTGCCAATCCAGTGAGTACTGTAAAAGAAACTTTATAACATGCAAGTGCAACTACCGATACCGCCACCCATGTCAATGCAGAATCATTGGCAGCCAAGGCCAAAGACTTACCTCTTTTGTTCATCAACGTTATGAAGTAAAAAACAAAGTTCAGAGTTTGACTGATCGTTTGGCATTCTAACCACAAAGTAAGCATCCAATCCAGCAAACAAAATCAAGGCACATATACCTGGGCATTGGATCTCCCAGCCGGAGCTGTTGCCTGTCCTGTGGGTGCTGAAGGCAAGCGGAGCTCCGCATCCAAGTCCGGTTCAGCATCAGGTTGGAGATAGGAGGGAATCCCATCAGCTTCAGTTTCCGTACCCATGTCTGCTTCTAGAGCATCCAGCTCTGCACGCCAAATTGAGAATACGGTAAGACAATTGGAAACAGAATCATATATGTTGATGCTTTGAATGTGACCAAAATAGATCTTAGCACTAAACAGCGCACAAGATGAACAAGGTCTCCCCTAGCCTATAGTCTAAAGATTGGTTGTCCAAAATCGATCAGAAAGATTTCAAACATGTATGAAATTCTGAAGCCAGTATTTCCTTCAATAGTTGGGAACTCAAATGACTTCTAAGCTTACCACCCATAAGATCTTCCTCATCAATGTCATCAGGAACACTATAGCTTCTGCCAAGGGTCTCTTGAATTTCATTGCTCACATCCATCAGGTCCATCATTTCATCTTGCAAATTCTACAACAATCGAGCATTCACATGTTAGAAAGATATGCTTTCAAATGTAGCTAGTATGGAAGCAAGAGAACAAAAACAGAAAGAGACTACTGACATCAATATCTTGAATCTTCACGGTTTTCATCATTCCCTTGAGCTCCTTGTTTGCAGACTTCAGAGCTGTCATCTGTGTAAAACATATCAATGTTATATTCCAAACAAAAGTATTCTTACGGCAGAAAATATGCCTCCATTGCATCTACAATTTGAAACCTAAACGGATACCAGGAATGAATATAACGGAATCCAGACTTTATACCAATCACATAGTTATAAGCTAAAAAAAAACCCTCCCCAGACACAAATGGTCCATCTCCTACCTCTCATGAGGTAGGCAGCAGGTTCCAATCAGGGGACAGAAAAAGCTCCGCCTCAACAGCCTTGAACCATGCCCCTTGGGGCGCTACCAAGGAAAACCAATAATTTTAAGGTGAATTTAGTATATCCCCATTGCAACCAAATTTGATGTAGAATAGAGTGACTCCAGCATGTAAATCAATAATTAACCCTTTAATTTGGGCATCCTACCTATCTCTTCTTCTTCTTCTCTTTTTTAAGGTACTTCTTGTTGAGAGGAAAGAAGGCATCTAATCCATCTAAATACATGTCATAATCACAACTGACTGGGTACCCCCCCCCCCCAACAAAGCCTTTAATGCTAAAGGGCTTCACCAATACAATGAAAGCAGTTCATCACACAATGTCATTTGTTGAGCTATGTCATTCACTATTCTCGTATCCTCACGTTTGAAAATCAAAACAATCCAACACATGAATAAACATTGTGTTAATCACAGAACTTAACAGAACAAGACGTTACCGTTTGCTGAGCATCTTTTATACCCTCTGAAGCAAAGGAAACTTGATCAAGGTTAAATGTCTGATTATACAGCATGTCCCGTTGTCCTTCATACCTGTCCAGAAGCTCAATGAATTACACAAATCATCAAAGAAAAAAGGATAATGCAAATTGATTCACGTAGTATATTCACCCATTCCTTACAAGTTGCAACAGATACCTCAATAATTCTAAATTCCAAAGAGAACGATCTCATCATTCAGTGAAAAATTTAAAATGATATCATCAATAGTGAAAATTTTTAAAATTTTAAATTTAAAAAAAAAAAAAACTATTTAGCGCAATGTTTTTGCAAATCTACCATTATGGCCTACTAATATTGAAAAAAGGCATGCACTAGGCAGAAATGTCCTCACACGCAGATTGTAACCTAACCTACAGGACATAACGAACCAATGATGCTATAATTGTTTGTATTTGACAGATTTCTTTTTCTCATTGAGACTAGACCATGCAAAGATGCCGTAAACTTATGCCAGATTTCTAGCTGCAGGACACTCCAGGAAAACTGAGTGTGTGTACAGACTCATGCATGCTTACTTTGTATTCTATTTGACATTCTTCTAGCACTATTGCGCACCCGTAAGTTGCTCATCATGTTTTTTAACTTCTTTTTTTTTTTTTCAATAATTGTCTTCAATTAACAGCTTAAAGTTCACTCCCAAGTCCCAACCGTTCTTAAGTCATAGAAATGTTTAATCATTGTCACTCCCTAGCTTTTCCCAAAGTCAAAATAAACCAATCTCAAAATCCTCGCAAATTTCATATGAATGAAGAAGAACGATTGACATGCAATAAATATGAGATAAACCACGGAGGGGAGCAATAAACCCGTAACATGGAAGGGGCAGGGAACCTACATTCTTTTCTGCTTGAGAACCCTCATGGCTCGAGACTTAACAGCTTCTTGTGCAGGACCGGGCCTTGTCTTCTTGATTTGCTCTTTGTATCTATTCAGTTCAATATCAAGCTTTTTGATCTTTTCATCGACTGTTTCGCCTCTTTTATTGATCTGTTACAAAATAATGTCTACTTCCTCAACAGTTGTAGCAGAAAGAATACCAAACGAAACTACAAAAGCTAAATATTGAAACAATAGTTTCTCGGAAACCAAGCATGGCGTTTAGTGACAAGAACTATCGATTCTAAAGCTGGTGAAAGCGATTTGACTAAACCTTCAAGCTCTTGATTAGAGTAAAAACCATCAATTCTACAACTACCCAACTTTTACTATTATTCGTTTTGGTTTAATCAGACCTAATTAAAACGCTGATAATCCCCAATCCCCAATTTTTACATATTAAAGCAATAAATTGAAATCCCCAATCCCCAATCCCCAATCCCGAAATAATTACAAATAGAAAACGCTGATAATCCCAACCCTAATTAAATTATGTGATACCCAACCCAACAATCAATCAGGAGAAAGAGAGGGGAAACAAACCCTATCGGAGGCATCGCCAACAGAAGGAGGGGGCTCTTTGTCTTTCTTGACACCAAAGACCCTCTTCATCTCTCCCTTCCCTTACTTTACTTGTTGCCCGCCTCTGAACCGACGACGACGGATTCCACCAAAAGCACTTCAACTGAACACAAACAACGCCAACGCGGACAGAGTGATTAGAAGAGAGAGTACGTGAGAGAGATCCAGATTAAACTTACCAAGAAAATGGCAACCTTCTGGGAAAACAGAGGAAGACGAAGGGAGAAGAGACTTAGAGTTGAATTGCTGCAATCTCCGCCCTAAAAAACTAATTAATTTTGGGATTTCATCTCTCTCGATGCTGGAAAAGTGAGGATCTTTCGCGGTAGCATGCTAGCTTTCCATTATTTCCTTGCAACGTCTTTGCGGAAAACAAACGGGTCGGGTCACCCCGAAATCAGCCCAATTCTATCAAACCCAAATATTCAACCCACTTTGTTGTGTCAATCCTCTCATCTAACCTTTTATTAAGCTTATTTTCGTAACGCCTCATCAAACTCAAACTTTATTTCATTTGTTGCTTCGAATAAAAATATCGTCACTTTACACTCTGAATTCCATCTCTTTTCTGTCCAAAATAATGTTATGTGCTAATGTGTAAATTGTAAAAAGGCAAAAAACCTTTCAGTCGGAAGCTTAAGAATTAGTCAATCTATACTGTTTAAGAGAGAGAGATATGAGCCTTTGGTTTGTGTAAAGTGAGCTAGCAAAATGAGCGAATAGAGACCGTCAAATTCAATTTGAGCGCTCTGGATTACCTATTCCTGTTTAGACCCAAAATTACACCATCGATTCGAGCAATCGAGGCCGTTGAATAAGCGGATATTAGACCGTTGGATGACAAGTGGTTGGAATGACTTTTAGTTATTATAGAGAAATAGTATGATGATTTTCATCATGATATTATTTCTTAATATTAACTAGGATATTTAAATCTAATATTTGATATATCCAGTCGGTTGTTTTGAGAAAAGATGATCTGATCCATCTTTTAGCTCGAATGGGCTCATCGTATCAAGCCTCTTGTGCATGCAATCCCATACGTGTCCTATTTCTAATATGGAAGTAGGTGGTACAATTCAAATTGACTTGAAATTTATGGATGGGGTTATTGCATGTGACTTTTCTTGGAATATGTGGATTATTTCATCAATTAGAATTTAGAGTTTTAAGTTGGTGAGGGAGTCATCATGCATGCACGGTCTCAGGGATTCAATTGGTAAACGTGATTTAATGGAATTATGATGGGATAAGTCTGCCATGGATAGGCTTTTGGATGGGTGATGGGATAGGTTTCATCTTGCTTAAACCAATGCCACAGATAGATGCCACAGATCAGCCTTAATTCTATGAATTTGAGTTTCAATTGGTTTCTATGAAGTTGTCAAGGTCACAGGGGATCATGCATATCTGAAAGATAATATTCCTATTATTTTGCGACTTACGAAGACAATCTCAAGGCTGCTGGTGAGTTATAAATACAGTGCAGAGGACAACATTCAAATCTCCTTCAATTCAACACACAAATCGTCCTGCGCAAACCCTCGCTCTACGCTAAACTTCTCAATAACTTTGAGATTTTTAGTTTCTTTTTCTCCAACACATCTTCAGTTTGGATAAACAACACTGTGAAGGCAACCGGCGAACATCTTCAGTTTGGATAAACAACACTGTTGTCGTAGAATCAACCGACCGCGAAGCACCTTCAGTTTGGATAAACAGCACTGCGTCGAAGCCAACTGGTTATCTATCTAAGTCTCGGTCGAGAAGGATTTTCGAATCCTTATTGGCAGAGATCATCTCATTAGCCTTCTCGGCGAAGTGAGGCGTCACAGTTTACCAGGGCTCGGCACATTAAACGCTGAGTTGTTTTATGAATGGATACTCACAAGTAGGCTTTAGAGTTCGGCATTCTGACAGCCGAACCACGTTTACCATCAAGACATATATCCGTTTTGAGTATTTGTGCCCCTATACTCTGGTGTCGATTCAGCGTGCTTATACTCTTACGAATATAGTCACTATGGCCGAATCCGGCGCCAACGATTTGTGAACTTCGCAGAACTAGTAGCCTTGCCTTCAGGCTCTAGAATCCGAAGGCCAAGACGTGTTCCTTCCTCAACCGCAGTCGTAAGATTCAGAAGTCAGCAGCGCACCCAACGCAACATCAACACATTTTACTTCCCGGTCGAGCTCGGCCGACGAGTTGGCACACCCACATACAATCAAATGACATAATTAGCTTATTAATTACTCGGCTTGCGCGCCACATAGTCTTGGTAGTTTTTAGGGTCAGCAATTCTTTAGACTCCGAACAGTGAGAACCGAAGAGAATCTGTGTCCCTAACAGTATCCCATTATACTCAGCGCACACAATTATAAGCCAAGCATTCGGATTCAAACAAAACCACAATATTGCCAACTCGATACTGGTTTAGTGGTATTTCTCTTTCAGCGTCCCAAGTTCATATCCCATTTCCCCGCTAATAAAAAAGTAAAAGACAACTGTAACCATTTGAATTCAAATTAAGAGTAACACTGACAAGTAACAGAGTCCACAGAGAGCCTATCATCGCTTGCAGCACTTCTACACTCTGCTGTTATCTAAAAATCATTGTAATCCAAAGCGTTTTTTGTAGAAAGTACGTTCCAAACGGGGAAACCACATTGAGAAAGTACATCCAAACAGTTTGCGGTCTAAGTTCTTCAAAGGAAGCAGGAAACACCCCTCAGATTGAGCAACTATTTAGCCCAGATTATTACATACCAAATTTGAACAAAGGGAGAGACGTATTTAGTTATGGTCCTTCTAGCATCACCTTCCATGCAGTAGGCCCCTGTACAAAAGGAAATTCACAATTAGTAACAGTATGGCATTTAGTTTCTGAATTGTATCAATGTCCACAAGCAATAAAAAGAACGTTAAAGGAGAAGTGCCACTAATGTTGGCAGAAGTACAAGTATAGTTGTCTTGGTTGTTTAGAACTTTAAATGAATATTGTCACATGCCGATTGCTTATGCAAATAAAGCCGCCTCAGCAGCCGGCAGCATAGTTAGTTTCTGTCCAAAACAGCAGCATAGTTAGTGAGTGGCTGTTTTGTTAGTTAGGAATCTTGGATCGGTACTATTCTCTCTTGTAACAAAAAACGTCTGTGAAAGATAATGTAATTCAATCTTAAATTGAAGCAATAAATCCTATTTAGGTTCTCTTTTGAGTAGAAAATTCGGACATGTGAAACGAAGACTAACAGATGCTCCGGTTAAAAAATGTGATTATGAGACAAAGGCTCAAGGCAAAAGAGATAGACAAAGATCTAGGAATACTTGAACAGAGACTTTAAGAAAAGACATATAGTACTTGGAGCTAATGGAAGACTTGGCGCTGAAAGCAGTGGTGTTCTATATGATTCATACAGCTGACCCCAGGCTTTCTTGTTGTATTTCTATTCAATCAGCGTTTTGCAAGTTATTCACCTGCCCTGCCAGTGACGCAGAGTCATTTTCCCAAGTGATTAAGCACATCATTCATTCACTGTTTTCATTGTCTTCTTAGTCTACAACATCATCCAATTCGGTTCTTCCTGTGCTTTTGTTGAGGCAAAGTACACCTCTGATATCAATAACCACCATTCTCAAGGAAAACATAAAGAGAGTCCCAAAGCAACATCAAATGCCCATCATCAGAGGGTGTTAAAAGTGGTCAGTTTCTCTTTTATCCAATGCATACAAAACACGTAACCTATAATACCTTGAGCACATCCGGAGGCCCTTAAAGATATATAATGAAGCATATATGTGGGTAATATCTCAACACAAATGATTGAAGGTTGTGAAAGGTAAAGCCAAAAAAGCACTAACTTGCAAAATCATCCAAATCACAATGGAGGTATAAAATCAGAGTCATAACAAGAGAAATTAAAAACACCTGACTCTTGCAGAGAAAATGGTACTGACCGAGCTAGTCTTATTTGGTGGATTTAGGATCGTTCTTGAGAGCGTAACCAGGAGGGGAATAGATGACAGCTGCGGCCATGGCTCCAGGAAAGACCACATACTTAGCCAAGGCTGCCAGTTTTGCCACTAGTGGCTCTCCCCTCATCAATGCCATTCCTCTGCTTAGCTGAGAGTCTGTAACACTTTCTTCAACCAAATGCACACTCAACACAAACGTCCAAAGAAACACACAATAAAAGTAAATATAAAACAAAGATAAAACATGATATTTTCTGGAGCCTACAGATTCCCACTTTCTAGGACCATATAATAAAAGCAAAACCATATTCAATCAAGGGACCAGATAATAAGGGGGCAACTACAGAATCCCATCAAATCTTTAAAAGGTTCCAGCCTTTGAAGAATGAGAATATAACATGAGTACATTTATTATCTAACATTATAACTTACTAATTTCAAGCATTGTTTCCAGTTTGTTTTTTTATTTTTAGCATTCTGTCCAATGTTCTATGTAACTGTAATTAATGGTCAAACTTACAATCCAATCTCAAACAGTACGTTGTTCTCTGCTGAAAGGATCATCTCACCAGTTCACAAAATCGAAAGAAGGTTGATTTCTATTTAGCTAGGTATCCAGAACATTTCGCTGCTACTGTGGCAATGATGGGTTAACTGAGAAACCTTAATAATCAAATGCACACCAAATTTTTTTCTATTTTAATTGAAGAAGAGCTGGCTATAGAGTTGCAGATGCCCAAGTCTCACGATATGATTCAGATATCATTTTTGTTGGATGTTAGTTTGCACGAAAAAACTCAAGGACTTAGAAATACAATCACATTTGCCAATGTTATATGGAAGAGGACATAAGGGCGATGTCTATGAATAATGATTTATGTCCAGGACCTCTTAAGGCATGTTGCACTTGGTGCGATGGCAAGTGCCTTCGCCCATGAGCGGTAGGTCTCGGGTTCGAGACTTGGGAGCAGCCTCTCCATAAATGGGGGTAAGGCTAGCCGACATTCACCTCTCCCAGACCCTGCGTAAAGCGGGAGCCTTGTGCACTGGGTACGACCTTTTTATTAAACCGTAAAATTGTAAACTTCAATACGACACTATAAAAGCACTTGAATATAACTAAACTGGTAACACAATCACCATAAGGATGACTGCTCATTCATTTGTTTCTCACTGCCGCCAACTGAAACAGTTTGGTATTTTCAATTAAGTAGGTTATGTTCTGTTCTTTATTATCCACACGGTAAAGAGAGAGAAAGATAGCGTCAGCGAACAATCCATATCTTACAGTTGGATTTTAGAAGAGGGAGATGCTGGACATCAATCAACCAAAACAAGCAACATCCCAGAAACTAGTCTGGGCAAGGTGTGAATTAGTTTGGTACGAGTCCCAAACCACGCACCTGAACCAATGTTTAAACATGATCTGTTCTGGTTTGACTTAGGCAGCAAACTAATAACCTAACCGAACCAAACCTATCGGCAAAGTGATCAACTTCACTTGGCCGATTTGATCGGTTGGGGCCCTGAGCCCATTGTTTTATGTTCTTCAATTTTTTACCAATTTAGGCCACAAACAAACAATTACACAAATGTACAATAATCATCAACCCATAACACCTTAAAAATGAATCCGTAAATTCGAATTAAGAAACCAAACAAACAATTAACCAAAAGCATACAAACCGAAACCGAAAACAAGAACAAAAAGCAAATGAACCAGATACAATATCATTTTAGACCCAAATCATACCAGTAAATTTTAACGCTAAAGCATATTGAATCCGATTAATATTAGTAATCATCACAAAAAGATATATATTGCTTTGCCTGTTTTCAAAATTAATAATTGAAAACTATTCAGTTTATTCTTTTCCCTTTACAGAGAACAAAATTTAATAATCAAACGAAATCCATAAATACAATAGGAATGAAAATTACAGTATTTGATTACCAAGTAAGACGGAGCAGATGATACTGTGGTTGCGGTAGCGGTGGCGATGGAGATTGAGAGGAGGGAACTCAGTCGCAAGATGGAGATAGAGGGGCGGAGGGCAGCTGACTGAAGACGGCGAGATGCAGTGTGTAGGGAGGGTCCCTCTAGACAACAGACCTTGGATTAGTTTTGTGGGAAAATTCTACTTTGCCCCCGCAATGCCGTTCTCCAACCCCAACCGTCCTTTTCACCAAATATTCCAATTTTACCATTAAATTGAATTCCAGGAAAGAAAACACGTTTTTTTTTTTTTTTTTTTTTTTTTATAAATTAATTAGCATATAACCCACACTTTGTATGTGAAAATAAATTTTATTTTTATTTTAAAATGAGGGAGAAAAAATAAATGTGGATTAGAGAGAGCAGTTTTATTTTTATATTTTATTTTTCAAAATTAAAGGATGTTAGGATCACCTTTGGATGAGACTTTGAAAAAAAACTGTAAAATTTAGTTTGTGTGAATTTACTTTACTGTCCATGATTTTGTTTTGTGGTAGAAGACAAAATTATCTTGTTACTATATTTTGGTTGACAAATAAAGTTTTATTAAGAGTAAATTGTAGCAATGGTCCCTCAATTTTAATCAAATTGGAGCAATGCTACCTCAACTAAAAATCTATTACCATTGGTCATTTAGGTACCGTTTGGTACGCAGACGGGATGGAACGGAACAGATGTTCCTTGTTATGTTTGGTACGCACATGACGGAACTGGACGGTTGTTCCGTTTTGCATTTGGTACGCGCAAGACGGAACGGAACCAAAAGATTAAATGACTAACTTACTCTTGTTCTGTTTGTTGTTTGGTACAATGTTTACGCATGGGACTGAACGGGAATGGACATGTTTTTTTTTTTTTTTTCGAACTTGTTCATATTTGAACACCTATATGTTTATCTATGATATATTTTTTACACTAGCACATAGGGTTGGGTTGGGTTTAAAACGGTTCGGTTTTTTGCCAAAATTGAAATCGAACCAAAACTTCTGTTCAATTTGGTTCAATTTTTTTTTGTTCGGTTTCAGCCTGGTTCAATTTTTTTTATTTTTGTTTTTGTTGTTGTTGTTCTTCTTCTTCTACTTTTAGGTCTAGTAGAGATCTCTTCGATTAATTCACCTGTTAAAAAAGGGGTCTTTTTTGTTCTTGGATTGATGGTGTAAATGTGAGAAATAGTTATAAATTAGTATCTTTCTGGATGCATTTATATTTGTTTTTCGTTTTTTTACATCCACCTTTTTTTATTCTTTCACAGAAACTAACAACAAGAGTAATAATTTGTTGACTACTTACTAGTCTTTGTTCTAGTCTATTTATATCAAAATTTACTTTCAGTTCAAACTTTTACTGAGAATTATTTGATTAAGAGAGAGTGAGAAAGTTAGGGCAGGAAAGAGTACAGGTACAACACTACAGTGATGTTTCGTGCTGGTAATACGGTGTAGACAAAAAAATGTACACATATTTTTATATTATTAGACATAACTAAATACTTCTCCAAAGAAAACTAAAATGTTTCAATTTTCTTGTTAAGAAATTTATAGTCACTCACATTTAGATTTGGTATGTGTTGGAAAATAGGATTCCACATCGGCATGTAACAAAAAAATGTATAATTAAGATATGAAGGATTTCATCTCTAATATTATCGAGACATTTTGTGATAAAATCTAATACTTAGTAAAAAGTGGTTTAGTTAGGGCTCATATCAGTAATGTTGATAGTGAACCATTGAATTGCAATCATTAAAAGGTATCATGCTCTACCGTTCTTCTTCTTCTTCTTCTTAGGCTTTAGGTCTAGTAAAGATCTCTTTGATTGGTTCACCTGTTAAAAAAGGTTCTTCTTCTTCTTCTTCTTCATAGGCTTTAGGTCTAGTAGAGATCTCTTCGATTAATTCACCTGTTAAAAAAGGGGTCATTAACGCACACAACCAACCTAATTATCATAACCTTCATCAATCAAAACCCTAAACCACAGATAGCAAACATTCAAACCAAACCTCTAAAACTATATAAAATAATGGACGGAACATTTGAGATTCAAAGAGTTTCACGGTGAGGTGTGATAGATTGAGACTCCAAACGGCAAGAAGAAGTTGACGGTGAGGTGTGAGAGATTAAGACTGAGAATGGTCGTCCCTGGGAATGAGAGACAAAGTTTAAGAGAGTGATTGAAGAGAGAGAGAGAGAGAAGAGGATGATGAAAGATGGGAATTGGGAACGAAGAGGCTATGGTTAAAGTCTTAAAGAAAAGTTGGGATTGGGATGAAATATGGGAATTGATAACCTATTAAACAATTATGATCCAGGTTTTTATAAATATGTTACTCATAACGGTATTAGCAAGAAAAAACTTGCTATCAAACTAGTTTAAGTGAAAGATACTCAACAAAGCGGGAAGGGGTTCGAACCTCCTTGGCTATAATTTTTTTTTTGTGTTTTTTATAATTAAAATATATTTCAGTTTGATTCGGTTTGGTTCGGTTTTCGAACCTCAAAAACCAAAACCAAACCAACCTAATTTGGTTCGGTTTGATTTGACAATTTTGGTTCGGTTTTTCAGTCTGGTTTTCGGTCCCCTTTTTTTTGGTCTTCGGTTTTTCGAACCCACCCCTACTAGCACATGACTAAAGATATGTTTTGCCATGAATTCCATCTTGCTGACCTCAGGGTCATGGATAATTGCTTGAAGGTTACTAAGAATATTGACCATGTGTTCAACCTCGCAAGATATAGCAGAAACCCAGAAAACTTGAAGGGCATTGTGATTGAGTGTGGCAAGATGGATGGTTCAAAGTTGGGAGGTGGGTTTTTGTCTGGTCCTAGTAGGGGATACTAGACCTTGAATCGCCAGTTCCTAGACGCTAAGAAATGTAGTTGGGTCATCAATTGATTTAGATTCAATAAATTAATATCTACAAACATAAAGATTCAGTAATTAAAAAAAAATCAAAGCTGATGACAAATAGATATAGCAAAAACCCAGAAAATTTTCAATCGAAACGCAAAATGAGCACAAAAAAAAATTGAGATACTTGGGTAAATCTACAGCGCGACAGAAGTGGCTCCGTGCTGTTGCCTGCTGGCTGGGTGCAATCGGTGGGTACGGGAGAGGATGAAGAGAGGACAAGGATGAAAAGGAAGGCTACGGGAAAAGAAAGGCAGCGGCAGAGAAGATGGATTAGGGTTTGTTTTATGATTTGGATGGTGTAAATATTGAAAAAGATAATGGACATTTTTGTCTTAAAATGTTAAAATTTTGTGTTCCACGGGGGTGGAACGAGTCGTTCCAGGGGGAGGTGGAACGAAAATTCAGCCAAAACTTGTTTCGTGGGACAACATGTCCCACTGTCTTTGGCGCACCAAACGTGGGACAAGGGTGTTCCATCCCACTGCGTCTCGTCCCATCCCACGTACCAAACAGTACCTTAACTCATCAAAATGTGTAGCTATGGTCATTTTCGTCAACTTCGTTAGAATTTTGTCAAAATAAGTTATGTTGGAAGGACCATTGTTACAATTGGGGTCCTTCAACTCATCAAAACGTTTAGTTATGGTCATTTTCGTCAACTTCGTCAAAATTTTGTCAAAATAAGTTATATTGAAAGGACTATTGCTACAATTGGGTTAAAGTTTGAGGGATTATTGCTCCAATTAGGTTAAAGTTAAGAGACCATTTTTTCAGTTGAATTAAAGTTGAGAGACCAATGGTAATGAATTTTTAGTTGAGGGATCATAGCTGCATGTTTCGATGAGTTAAATGACCGATGATAATGAATTTTTAGTTGAGGGACTATTGCTCTAATTGAGTTAAAGTTAAGGGACCGTTGCTACAATTTACCCTTTTATTAATGTAGTTTTAGATAATTCACAACACTGATAATCAGACTCGTTTGGAAATGCTTTTAAAGTTACTGAAAACGCTTTTGATGAAAGTGTTTCTTGCCAATGCATTTCCGTGGTGCCTAGATGAGTGAGGGGTGTGTTTTGGTCGTGGCAACGAGGGTTGTCATTTGGGGGCAATGGCAAAAAAGAGCATTGTTAGAAAGTAGGAGTAGACATCAAGCCTCGGTTTTGACCCCGAACCGCTGCCACGCACATCACTCAGGTTGGACAGAGATCTTCTTTGGATCTTAATGTCTCAAGTCAAAGGACTAGAGAATTCGAACCACTCAAATTGAATCTGACAGTTCCCATAAACTCATTTTGCTAGCCCACTTCACACATATCAAAGCCTTCGATTTCTCTTTCATACAGACCAAAGACCCGGATTCTTGGTCCTTAGGCTCGTTATACCAAAGTCTGGAGAGGTTCCAAATTCACTCAGGGTGACATTATTTCAAACCATTGTCAGCTAAGACTATAAACCATCAAGTGGGGCGAAGTTGGGTGGTTTAACAATATTGTTAAAAACATCATAATCTGAACTAAAATCCTCATCGACAACAGAATCAGTATCTTTCATTACCTCCATTGAACCATCCAACAAAAGATAAATTTCATCTCTTAGTTGATTTGATGTGTCCCCCCCTCACCAAAAAGGGTGAAAATTCATCGCCCCCATCAACCGCCTTCCTCACACCCAAGTCCCTTATCAAAGCCCTCACTCTCGCTAGGTTGTTCCAACAACCAACAATAATATACATGTTATCGATTAACACATAGTAACCAAAAAGTTTCGGTTTCATTTCTAACAGTTTTTTGGCTACTCATTCTCTTGTCTCTACATTTCCATGAAACCGACATGCTTTGATAGGAGTAGCCCACATAGCAGAAGCTGGCTTGTAAGGCATCTTTGCGATAAATATCCTTAGCTTTGTTAGTAGATCGAGCATTTTAAAGAGATCAACCATGCACGCATAGTGCTCTATATCGAGAATTATATTGTATACACTCAGCATCTTTTCAAACAATATTTGGCCTTGGATTACTAGACCGGAATGGCTATAAGCTGATAGGATTGAAACCATTGTTACGTGATCTGGTTTTACGTGTGTTTGTACCATACTTGACCAATCCCGAAACTACTGAGCACCGGTCAATGTTATACCGTCAAGGACCTAGAAGAGTTTCCCTCCAACCAGGAGACCAATCACAGCGCGACACGTGTTGACATCAGAAGCCAATCATAGCGCGACACGTGTT